AAATAAATAAATAAATAAAATAAAATAAATGAAGGGAAACTATGTCTCTATACTTAAACTTCTCATATTTTGGGGTTTCACACATGAAAATCAGTATCATTTGTTATATGTTTTTAGAACTTGAAATTAAACTCTTTCAAGCTGAATAAATTTAATTATATGGAAACTCCAGCTCATGTTTCTTCCACCCTGGTCTCAGTGAAGCTGTTGCCTTGGCCAGCATTGCTTTATGAAGAATGGCATTAGAAGACCCTGCCTCCTACTGGGCTGTGAAAGCTTGGAGGATTTCAGAGTCACATGGATGCTATCCACTGTAAGTGTGGGTTTTAGGAAAGAACACACAGGCACACACTCACACAAGTACACACCAGTGCCCTTTATCTTGTCCTGGGCTGTCTCTGCCAAGGCAGAGTTGGTAATCACTGCTGTGCAGTCTAACGTCCAGACTTGGGTCTCAAAACCCTGTCTTCCAAGATTATCTGTAGAAATGGCAGCATACAAAAGTAGTTTGTGTCTTCATAGCAACACTGACTCAACCTTGTAGGTTGGTTTTGAAGTGGGAAGAAGTAGGTAGGTTAGTGGGTGTTTTGTTCCCTCTTCTAAATTCCTCTGATGGTTGGCAGGTGTAGTTATATTGAGCTACCCTAAAAAAATCAATTTGGGGGCTGGGGAGATGGCTCAGCAGTTAAGAGCACAGGCTATCCTTCCAGAAGTCCTGAGTTCAATTCCCAGCAACCACATGGTGGCTCCCAACCATCATAATGAGACCTGGTGCTGTCTTCTGGCATGCAGGCAGAACATTTTATAAATAACAAATAAATAAATAAATATTTTAAAAAATCAGTCTGGTCTAGAATGGAATAAGAAATTACTGGTTAACTGGCTGATTTATCTTACAATATTTGCAAAGCACCTGTGTGTGCCGGTCATTGCACAAAGGTTTCAGCAAGTAGGAGTAAAAAAGCAAAATCCTCAGTGAAAAATTTGTGCTGTGACAGGACATACAGCTACATGAGCATACATTATGTGGGCTTCCTCTTTCCTCTTTTTTTTCTACATATCACATTTCTTTATCCATTCTTCCCCTGACAGACATTCAGATGTTGCTCCTGTCTCTTGACTGTTCTGAATAGTGTTGTGATGAACATGCAGATGCTAATATTTTTAGAACTTTTTAAAAAAAATTTTGCTACTATTCAGAAGTGAGATGATTGGATAATATATGGTAAGCTTACTTTCAACTTTTTTAGAGGGAAACTAAACTTTTAAAAATATATTGTCAGCAAAACCCTGTCTTGTAATATACATACACACACACACACACACACACACACACACACACACACACACACATATATAGTCACCATTTCTTTGCAAAGACAGTTGACCCTTATATACTATTCATTACCATGAGATATAAGTAGCCTGTAATCTACTGGGGTGGTGTGCTCCACCTGTCAGGAGAACTGAATGCCCTTCTGCAGCTTTATACTGCTTTCCTCTTCAGCTGAATGAGCAGGCTAAGCAAGGATAGGACCACTGGGATGACCCTGCTGCAAAACACAACAAAGCATGTGGCCAGGCTGTAGGCCAATGCTAATCAAAACATCCAGCACCTGCATACCCTCAGCTGGGGGGCTCAGGTCTCAAAAAGGAATTCACAGACAGCCTGTCAGCACCTTGTTGTGTGTCTTGCGATAGAGCTCTCTAGGAACTTGCCTGAACTTTTTTACATGCTAAAGCCCACTTCCCTACATTTACATAGCCCCAAACTACAGCACAGAATCATTCAGATCCTGAGCTAGGAAGTGGTCTAAAACTCAAACACCTCTTTTAGCTAAAGGGAGGACCCTTGTGGTGCTCAGAAGTGTGTGAAGAACGGTGCACAAGAAAGACTACTTTTCTGGTCCATTTCCTAGGAGTGAGGTTCATGGCCTCAGAAGGATGCATGCTTGGATCACTTTTCTGCTAAGAGCTTCTCAAAATTCTTAACATCATTCTAACAAGAAAAGAGTCACATGCTCCTATTTTTATTGTTGTTAGTCCAGAAGCTAGGTAGCTAGGCTTGACTATTTTCCATGCTGAACCAGAAATGAAGAGACTGGTTGGTCAAGGGTCCAGGGTAGTTAGGGTGAAAATGGGGGATCTGGATCAGGGAGAAGTATAGAAAAGAATACAGCCATATTTCGTAAGGAAATTGAGCATTGTGCATGGAACTCAAAGCCCATCATTTTAATTTCCCTGGTCAATATGAAGCTTCGGACCCTAAAATACCCATTTCACTTTGCTGTTCCACAGACAAGCCTTGTTTTCTTCTCATTTTTTTAGTTTGACAGAGTAGCCTAAAAGACACATAAACTTAGGACCAATGGAAATGCAGGACAGTGTCAGAGCAGAGTGCTGGATGATCATGTCTAATGATTTTCACTTCTCTCCATGCTAAGAAGTGCCCTCCAGAGTTGTGTTCTTCTGTCCCTGTACTATTTCAGCCCACCACCATTCATTTCCCTCCAAACAACCATTCAAATTAGAGTTTGGGTGATACTTCTATTACTCTTTCTTGGCAGCTATTTTTATCATCAGAACATTGTCCTAGAAACTGGTTATATTACTTGAAGGGCTGTAGAGGGGACCTTCATTCACATTGTCTTAAGGTGTTTCTCTGTATATTCAGCTCTTATTTGCTGAACTAGCAGTGAGCTAAATGCTAATGGAGTCTGGTATTGCAATTACTTTGACCTATTACAGGCCTCCTGTTTTGTAAATCCTAAACAAAAGCTCAAGAATTGTATCAAATGTATCTCACTGCTGATTGGTTGTTATAAAGAGCTTGATGGCCAAACCAATATCTAGGGCAGGAAGTGAGAGGCAGGACTTCCAGGCAGAGAAAGAGACTCTGGGAAGAAGAAAAAGAAAGGCGTTTTTGTTTGTTTGTTTGTTTGTTTGTTTTTGTTTTTTGTTTTTTTTTGTGCCAAGAGACACTGCAGGAGTCCGAGTTGATACTTGATTCAGGGATCTGCTAGGTTAACTTAGAGGAGCTCATTGAAAGTCTGCCCAGTTAAGGCCTAAGCTTTAAAATCTTAAGAGATGTCAGTGTCTTTTTATTTTCATGGTCGGTGGCTCACCAAGGTCTTACAACAAATGACACAGGACAAAATGTGGGCCCTTTGCTCAAAACTTCCTAAGAATTTTAAGGCAGCAAGAACATGAATAGTGACCCATGGACTATCCTACACACAGGGTTTGTATGACCACAGGCCAAAGGGCCATGAAGCCCAATCCTCACTGGCCAGTATATAAAATATGTGGTTTATTTAAGCAGCTACTACTATGTAGGTTCCCTGGCTTGGCACAAAACTAAGAACAGCATCTGTGGAGTTAGGGATAAGTCCGTTTTCCTGGAGTTGCGTGTTATTTGGTGGTAAGAATTCATGAATAATACCAGGTTGAGTAGGTGAGAGCGCCTGGTTTCCAGACAGACCAGGAAGCTCTTCATTAGGAGCTGATACAAACATTGGTTCATTAAGGCACTGAAGAATGTGATTCCAGTGTAACCTGCTCAGATCTTCCCACTCTCTAGCTAAGCTTCCATATCCCTTGAGCATCCTATTTGCTGAAGAAGAGGCTGCTTCTTTGACATGGCCTCAATGCCTCCCATGGGCACTGAGTTAGAATTAGACATTTTATTCTCCTTCGCCAACTGGGCTGTAAAATACTTGAATCAGAAACTCCTCTACCTTCTCTTCTCCTCTTTGTCTACCTATTCCTCCTCTCCCTCCTGTTTTTACCTAACCTTTGTACCTTGAAAAACTGGTCAGCAAATAACACAGCCATTCTTAAATGCTGAAGATAACACAGGAAGAATTTTCTGTGACCACTCTGTGTGTATAATGGCAATGTTTTCATTCTGAAAACAACACACAGGAAGACTGAGCTCTCTCTATCCTGCCAATGCCCGCTCAGGGACAGTGGATCAGATCTGGATGAACAGGAGAGGGCTGTTGGGGGATCATCCAGAGTCCTTCTGAGTGATTTGGACTGGCACTCACTGAACCCTCCTGATCCACCCAGAAAACAAGAGTCCCAATCCTGAGCGGGTTTCCTGCTGGAGCACCTCAGCTTGTCTCTGGGGGCAGTCAGCTCCTGCATCCCAGCATTATCCCAGGAAAGTTGCTCTGTAGCATTTAAATATTCACTTTTCTGTTCTCTGAAAAACCTTTGATCTTCATCACTTATTCCGTAGTCACATGTAGTGAGTAAGCATTCAGTGGAGACCTGTAGTCCACATTCCAGGCACTTGTGAGATGTGAATGGAAGCTTATTTTGAGTTTGTGTATGACATAATTGGTATCAAAATAATGGTCATCTAACCCACTCACACCTCACACCATCATCTCCTAGATGCTACTAAGCAGGAGAAGACAGGGCCTCTGAGGTGTGGCAGAGCTTTTTCAGTGGTGTAGAAATCATGCTTCTACAGACAATCAACAAAGCTAAGGGTTTTCTTAATCATCCTTAGAACCCACTTTTGCCACTGTGTGTTTCCCTTTGTGCTACCCTTCAGGGGTATGTTGACATCTGTGAAGGTAATTACCTGATAAAAAGCCTCTCTTGACTTTGTCATGATGATGCCTTCTCATTAATTTTTCTTTCTTGCCTAAGTTAAAGCCAGGACATAGTTGCCAAACACCAATATATTTAGGAAATAACTTGTTCATAGTTAAAATTGCGCTACATTGTCACAATTCCTAAATTTATTTCATTGTTCTAGGGCAGTGGTTTGTGGTTAAAATATTTTAGGTACACAGAAAGCATGAGAAAAATAAGATTCTACATCTAGATTCTGGGTTATGGCATTAGATAAGACTATCACATTAAGCAAGACATTTCAATAAAAAAACATATGTGCAAATTAAAACACGTTTCTTTGTGCTTTAATTCCCAATGTAATTTCCGTGAATTTGACCTAACTAAAGATGAAGAAGAAACTGAAGACATACTTTGGATTTCAATGACCTTCTGTAAGGAAGCGGCAGCATTCGTATTCGGCGTCTGGTGTAGAGCGTCTTCCTCAAGAGGGCCCAGCTGCAAGTGCAGGAGAGAACATGACAGAACATGAGGACTTTACAGTGAGTAACACAGAGCAAAACAAGTGAAGACCTCATCCTCAGAGGCCTGCTCCAAGAACTGCTTAACATTTTGCTGAAATCAGGTCCCCAGGTGCGGTCAGTTATATTTTATGTTTTGTGTCCATATAATTTAATTCCAAGGAGCTTTTCTATTGGTATCAAGATTAATGTATGGACACGCCGAAGCAGGTGCACATCTGTGTATTAGTCACTTAAAATCTGAGGTATTTGTGTAATTTTCGGTTTGCAATTCACAAACCGAATTTCATCATGAGGCTATCTGCAGCTGAGGCCATTGAACAAACTCTCAGGGAAGTTACATCAGACAGAGTGGATAGTCTATTGTCTGCATTTCAGCTGTGCTTTTATATTTAATCATCTTAAACATTAAACACTTCCTGGTGGAAGGTCATGAAGCATTTGTTCTTTCAATAAAGTAGCAGCAAAAGAATAAAACAACAACAACAAACAAACAACAAAACTGTATTAAAGAAGCCAGAGGTAGAAGAAGAGCACAATTCCACTTAGCATTTACTTTATTCAAAACTACACTTATGTCAGCCTCAAGCATGGGACAAATTCCTTCTGTGCAAATCTATTATGGTCTTCTGGAGTTACACCACTTTTTTTTTAATGGAGGAATTTGGCAAACATTGCAAGAAATGCAGGAGAGCTTCTGGTAATTTATGGAGCATCTCTATCTGAATCAAGTCTGGTGACGTAGATCCTAGGCATGTGGTGATGAGTGTACTGTGGGGTAGAATAGTTACAAAGAAAATAACCGTCTAGTTTTGGGGACAAAGAGAGCAATCAAACAATAATAGCAAGACAACAAATGCTAAGAAATCTGTTTTCCTAGAAAACTTCACGTTAGTAACCTCAAATCAGAAGTGGGGGTGGTTAAATACAGTGGCATGTCCAGGAACTGCTGTCACTAGACATACCAAAGCATCTGGAGGAAAAAAAAAACCAAAACCAAGGGATTACAAATTTCCACAGCATATGTGAGTATAGCTCACCCCCAGGGTCTCTTGAGTTGATTATTCTATACTTCAATCATGAGATCGAAAACAATAGCACCTTTCTTCCAGATGCCACAGGATAGCAGAGTGGCTCGAGGATATTTATACATGAGTAAATTCACTAAATATAACTTTGTAGAGTGTTTTCCTTAGCTGCCAAAGAAAGAGCTTTAAAACATCAAAAGGTCTGCACAATGCCATTTAGTGAAAGTAAAACACCACTGTACCTACGTCAGTGTCTGTGAAAGGTTGTGGAATCTTAAACGCTTTAATTTGGTTAAAATCATTAAAACAACAATGCCAACAAAAAAACAATACTGCAGATTGTATCTTTAAGAATACGCTATCCTGGTGCTACCCTCTCATCTCAGAGGAGCAACTGAATCAGAAGCTGCAGGTTCCTTGGAAAATGCTTCCTGAAGGAGTAGACTGGTTGAGTGAGCTTCTTTGCTCACACACAAAGTTTCCTTCCATTCACTTCTTCCTCAGAACCAAGGGAGAAATTGCTTTTTTGTAGAAACACAATGTCTTGAAACACCACTTCATATTAGAACTTACACACCAGATTGACACATTTAGTTCTTTCAGAAACCTTCCTGTGACTTCGGATAAAAAATGCTGACAAACTGTGTTGGATAGTGGAAAAAACTAGAGTGGGGTCACAAATGTAAAAGCCCCAGTTCTGCAACTGGAGCACATTGAGGTCTGTGGGCTTGTTTTTAAGTCCTGGGTAATATAGAAAGTGTATGTGGTTCAGCGTGTTGAGTATGAAAATACAAACACATCTAAACCCACAATTTGGAGTCTTCAGTTAGATGCCATAAAGTTGTGCCTACTTGTAAAAGCAACTCAGAGAATTAAGGAAATTAAATTGATCATTTAAGCCTCTCAAACCATTTCCTCGCATGTTTTAGGTGAATGCCATTTGAGGGTTTAACCTTCAGCAAATTGCAGCAATTTGTTTCATTTTGAGTGTGTACACACAGACAGGGCTGGATTGAGAGTGTTCTCACAATGTGGGCTCTTTATTTTCATCCAGTAGCTGTGCAGAGAGGGCTAGGGGTAGTAGTCTCTCCATTGGCAAGGAAGCAAGCAGCATTTACAGACTGTTTTGCTAAAATTAAAGCCTCGTATGGAGGGACCACAGAATTGAGGTGTGTTTTTTAGGGAATTTGTTGACTCAATCACTCAGAATTATGGGCACTCAAGCTGTCTGATTGAAGAATCTACTCAATAAATATTTATGAGTATTGGTCATTATTAGTAATCTAATAACTCAATAATGAAATAATACTAAGTAAATAATAATTTTTAATAAATTTGGAGCAAACATGAGAAAACACAGTAAAGCTATGTTAGGTATTTAGTTTAGCCAATGAGATGTAGCAAAAATATTGGCTATTAAAACTAGTCAGAATTACTAAAAAGATAAAAAAAAAATAAATCTAAGCAAACAGACTTCTTTTGTATGCAAAAAGTTTCAGGAAGAGAAAGCAGATCCAGATGTAAGAAGTCTTACACACGCATCATGCTGTCTGTCAACCAATCCCATTAGATAAAGATAATTTTCACAAAGTTATTAAGATAAATTAGACAATTTGAATGCAACCCATGGACATCCAAGACTAGTGATTCATCTTTGGTATGTGTAAAATATAATCGTTACCAACCCTTACATAGATTTAGGCTCCGAAATAGAGAAATCTGTGTTTCTGCATCTCTTAAATAAAATCAAGGTATTATATACAATTTAGATGTTTCCTCAGTTTCACCTGTCATATGATTTTCAAGGACTGCGGCTATTTTAAACACAAGCTACAGGCAAGTAACAGTTAAGAGAGGAAGACTCAGAGGCCATGGATATGAAAGGGGATGGGGAATGTCTGAGGAAAACATGGGAAAGGTTGAAGAGAGGAGGGAGTGAAAATGATGCAATTGTATTTATGTATATATATATATATGTGTGTGTGTGTGTGTGTGTGTGTGTGTATAACATGCATAATACATATATACAAATGTGTGTATATATATATATATATATATATATATATATATATATATTTCTTTTTTTTCAAAACACGGTCTTTCTGTGTAGCCTTGGCTGTCCTGGACTCACTCTGTAGACCAGGTTGACCTCAAACTCAAGAGATCCACCTTCGTCTGCCTCTTGGGTGCTGGGATTCAAGGTTTGTGTCACTACCTCCTGGCTTGATACAGTTATATTTAATTAAAAATAAATTAGCTAAATTTTTTTTCAAAATTATATGAAAAACAATTGCAGGAATACAAGTAGAATGAGATCTTTTTTATTAAAAAAAAAGCACAGACACTGAACTTTAGCCCAATTTGGTACAGAGGAAATCTTCACAATCTGTAACATTCAATCCATATATAGGAATTCAGGTGGAAGATTGTTAATGTCTCTAAAATATTTTAAGTTTTAATGCTCAAGTCCAAAACTTAGATGGAATTATTCTAGGTATTTTGCATATTTGATGATATGTTTATAAATTATCTCTGTGTTTATTTATTATCACTTAATTGATTGCTTTTTTTGACACAGTAAAACTAAGTCTGGCCCTGGCTTCAGGATCTTTCTGCATTAGTCTCCCATTGTTGGGATTATAGGTATGTGCCACCATACTCAGATCTAAATTTACTTTCAAATGCTTTCATAGATAATTTTAGCTTTTAGAGACTTCAAAGAAACAGTCAGAATTTTTATAAGGAAGAAATCATCCAGGTTCTCCTCATGTTGACTAGTCACATAAAATATGCATATACTTCAACTTTCCTCCCTATACCATTCTTGGTTTAAAGAGATATAGTTGATTTTTATCAATTTTTCAAATGAATTTTAAATTTTCACAGATTTTAGTTAAATTTTAATTGACCATCAACCTTATTAAACTTAAGTATTAAACATACTTAAATAAAATAATATATTTTCTATACAAACAATCATCTAGAATAATAATGTATTTCTCATTCATCTTCTGTTAGTGTCGTCTTTTTGTTACCTTACTATGCTGTCTAATCTCCACATTATAATTTTGAAATAAAGAATGAGAGATTTGGACATTTATTAATTTCAGAAAATCTTTTTATATTCCACCATTGAAACACAGCTTTTAAAAAGTTTATATCTATTAAACATAGTATAATTGTAAATAAACTATAGTAGTTTCCTTAAAATTCTCTTTCCTAAAATATAATGCCATATAATGGTGAAAATGAATAGGCTATCGTTGTGTACAATGACAGAGATGACTCTCCACAAACAAGGGCATTATATGCAAAAGATAATCATAATTTCTTCCTTATAAATTTACAAGTGGGAAATGAAAATATGATGTTAGAAATCTAAAAATCAAAAAGGAGAGAATGGATACCAATCACCAGGAACTTAGATTCTCTTGACCCAATTAATGGCTCTCCATGTAACATCCTTGTTATGTTTCATTAACTTGTTAATATTTGTGCAGATTTATGTATATTATATTTTACACTTAAAAACAACGTTGGAGGTATTAGAACGTCATCCAGAAACAACAATGGAAAAGTCCTCTGACATAGGCAAGTAGGAACACAAGACTTCAGGCTGTGACTTCCATTGTGTGATGTTGCCCCTAAGAAACAAGGTGAAAATGTCTTGCTCCAACAATGTTACATTCTTAGATACAGGCGTAAGTTCACTTGCAAAGAAAACTGAAAGTCTGTCTACAACATTCAGACAACTGAGATGAGATCCAAAAAGTGTTCACTTGTACAGATCAAAGGGATTATGAAGGGATATGATGGCCAAGACCAAAAGGACAAGGGAGGCAGATCAGAATGCTCATTTGACCTTCTAGGCTGATGAACTGTTTATTATCAATTCCCCTGTGAGGAGGGATTGATACTTAAAAACCTACACTCATTTAAATAATTGCCC